TTAAAAACACATGATAAATTTCTATATCTTGGAAATCATATCAACTGTGTTAACTCCTATAATTACTTAGGTGTTACAATGCAGTCCAATGGGAAATTTACTGAAGCCAGACAAAACATGGCAGATAAAGCCAACAGAGCCTTATATGCAATGTTAAGACACATTCCACCTGAATGCGACTGTAAAACATTTATCTATCTGTTCAGAACATGTATTCTTCCGGTACTCATTTATGGTTCAGAAATTTGGGGAATTGAAGTTTTGGATGAAAACAAATGGGACAAAACTACAAGTGAAAAACTACATTTGAAATTCTGTAGAAATATTCTAGGCCTAAATAAATTTGGTGCAAATTTAGCTTGTAGGGCAGAGTTGGGCTGTTTCCCATTACTAATAGACACCAAGAAAAACCTTATCAAGTATTGGTTACGCATACAAGGGCTTCCAGATAAATGTCTTACAAAACAAGCATATTATGAACAAATGAAATTCAATTTACCATGGTGTTCATCGGTTCAGAATTTAGTTATTGACTCAAGAATTCAAACTAGTTGATAAACATTGATAAGACTTTAAAAGAAAACTATATTACATTTTGGAAACAGAATGTCAATCAAGAAAACACAAAACTAAGAACATATGCAAAATTCAAAAACACTTATAATTTTGAGTCATACTTAAATTGTCTTCCGAAAAAACATCAAGTCTGCATGTCACGCTTCCGAACAAGTAACCATTGTTTGGCTATTGAAAAAGGAAGGCACACACAGCCAAAAACTCCCATTGAAAAAAGAATTTGTAATTTATGTTCCCAAAATAAAATAGAAGATGAAGTTCACTTCCTTTTAGAATGTGATCGGTACAAACATATTAGACATGAATTGCTCACAGAAATTACATTAACTAATGCAGGAGATAAATTGAGTAATTTTATATTTTTGATGAGCAACAAGGACTCCAAGGCAATTAAATGTATGGGGACCTATCTACTTAAAGCCATGGAATACAGAAAACTTTAACGTATCTATTTATATTGTATTGTAATTGTGTTGTGTACGGATATATTTATTGCTTTTTACCAAAAGAAATATTGTAATTTCTAAGGATGCAATAAAATTTGATTATTATTATTATTATTATTATTATTGTGTCACGGCCTATTGGGGGGAAACAAATTGTCTTCAACATGGGTCTCAATCCGGGGGGGGGGGTTACTCACATTGAAGTGCTATACATGTATCTATATGTGCGCCAAAAGGGGTCCCAAATTCACCACTTCCGTCTGAAAAGAATTATGTTATTTTACCCTGTCTGTTTGAAAATGGCTATCCTTTTTTCATTATTTCTGTCGGAAAAGGGTCCGTATTTTCCAAAGACTGTTCTTAGAGCTTGAGTGATCCAACAATCAGGAGAATGAAGCTGATTTTTTCTTTCGTCTGTAACTTCATTTTGATCGTCAAAGTCCATCCCCGGGAGTCCACCTGCTTTTCCCTTGGTACTATTTATGCTTACTGTCTGGAAAGGGGTGTCAAATATCCACAGTGTGTCTGAAAAGGGGTAGGCAATTTGAGTTTATTTCTGTCTGATAAACCAGCTACACACCCCTGTCAATATTTTTTTAAGCACTCCCGGGGATCTCAATTGAAACGATGATCAAAATACATTATAATCCTAAACATATTTATTAGTGACTGAGATATTCCGCGAAATCGGTTAGGCTCATTTCTGTTGCAAGAAACAGTGAGTATTGTCAAAGAACGAATAATGAAGGGCAGTCACTATTTTAGTTAATATTTTATATGAGACATTACATAATCAGTGGATATTATCTTGGTGTACATTTGGGTGTTAACTAAGCGGTGATTTTGAACGCACTGCACGCCGGTAAAAAAACAACTTCGAACGAGCCTAAAACTGTAAAACATACAACTGAGCCAGTATTGAGCCAGTATAATTGGTCATGATAAGATGAAAACATGCAACTAAACAACTAAGTAATGTTCATGTTATAAGTTCATTAAAAAATAGATAAATTCGAGTTAAATTAAATATGTGAAAATCAGTTGTTTTGGTAAAGTCAATTGGTGTTTCAAATTAGTTTTATTCCCTGAACTCAATCTCTGTGCATTGATAACATAGCATTGATAGTTTTTTAATTTTTTCTGGAGAGGCAATAAACATCAAATTAAGAAAATGTCCGATTTAGAAAGTGTCAATAATTCAATGAAATTGTCATGGGTCGTAAACATTATTGAAACCATTTAGTGTTCTTAATTTTTTGCAGAAATAAATATGAATTTGCTCCACTATTATTGTGATATGCTAGAATTTTGAAAAGACGTAAATAAATTACCATGTAATGTTAGGAAGGTGATTACGGAATACTAAGGAGATATCACTATGAGAGTGCTACTTTTTATATAAGTGATTTTACTGACAAATAATGATTCGTTCAATTATTTGTTTATTTTTTATTTTTGCAAATTTATTGTCATAAAAGTTTCATTTTGTTAACCAGTATTGAAGGCTTTTAAAACAGTTAATGAATGAAAACTGTAAAACATACAAATATGAATCTTTAAATTGAATTGTAAAAACTTTTTTTTTTAAATGTGTACGACCCTGAGAGTGTACCGAGTATTTGTTGAAGTAACAATCCCATATAATAGAAGCGTTTGGGATTCGAACCTAAATAAAATAAGATTTTCCACAAAATAAGATTTTCCAGACTTGAATTAGATAGCCAAACCATAAATACATAAATGTTTCTCCAAGTTTGTTTATATCTATTAGTACTTTATTTAGCGCGCAGGTCACCGTAGGCATAACAGAAGGTTTCACAGACCTCCCTGTAACTTTTAATAATCTTACTACTTCAAGACCTTTAATGTCTTGGATAAACCCCTCAAAATTCTAACCGACAACAATTGTTTATGCTCCCTTCCTAATTTGCATAAATCCACTTAAATATATAATAAACAAAATTAGTTTCAGTGTGATCGCGTTCTGTTGTGGGCATTAGTGTTTTTGTCGGACAATTTTATTTACAACTTGAAATTTAATGTATTTACAAACTTTCAACCAAACTAAACAATTCTGATAAATTTAGTATAATGGTTGTGTAGAATTGGGTTATCGTGAGTTATTTTAATTTATAATATACATAAAGATCGACGACACTGGGTGACCGTGACGATTCCGTAGGTATATGTACGAATTGGATACGTAAGCTCCCCTAGTGGCTGCTCGTGTATTTCTACGTTATTGTCACATTAGACCATATCGCAAGTTCGAATTTCATTGCATTGTGGGATAGTTTTGACCGAATCGAATCTCTGATCGAACACGACTCTATCATGGTTACTAAACCGTGGTAACCGTGAAAGCATCAATCACAAATCGCGTCCTCTCGTGCAACTATCCCACAACGCACTAAAATTTGGAATTGCGATTAATTCTTCATATGATCTACTAAGACAATAAATAATGATGAGATAAAATTCTACATTTGCACTTTAGTTAATGTTACTTCCAACTTATATATTGCAACTATCGTGTTTACTCTGAATTTCTATAAAAAAAACACTAATTTTGAAATAAAATACTACAACTTCACATAGAGGGCGCTCTAACCATTGATTCTCACTGCCAACTTTGGAGAAACGACTACCGTATAATTCGTGTTAACAATAATGCGCTTAACCCCATTCTGTAAAGGAGAAGGAGCAAATTGAGAACTTACGCGATCGGGACACTTTTATTTAATTTTCCTTATATTATTCTTTGTTTTTTTCAAAATGAATGGTTATTGATACTTATACTTATATAATATAACGTTTGATAAAAAGTATTAGTAATCAACACGGTAATTGTATTTCAATGTTAAATTAATCCAGTGTCTATCCAATCTTGCTTTAAAAGAGTCCACTGTTAGTGCTGAAACAACATTATTGGGTAAAGTGTTCCAAATATTTACAACTCTATTACTGAAAGAGTATTTTCTGACATCCACACGTGACCCAAATTTTCTTAATTTAAAGTCATGGCCTCTAGTTATAGATGGTCCATGTAATGTAACTAAATATTGGTGGGTTGTATGTTATAATTTTGTATCATGGTTCCACGTAACCGTCTATACACTAAAGTAGGCAATTTAAGAAACTTAAGTGTCATATGGCAAAATGACTACACTAGCTCTGTATTTCACACTTATATAAACCAAATTATAGTTTCGATAAAGTTGTAGTAATATATGATGTATATGCATTAATTATGAAGTGGTCCCTGGTGAAGGTCATCCACGCGTTCAAACAAGCTGGACGTAAGTACATTGGTACAGCGCCCGCACGCGAGTACTAGGTAATGATCTATCGTTTTAAACTGCAGCTTCGGAAATTCAAGTACATCGAGTAGGTTCTGAATAAATGGATGTAATGGTATAAACGTACTTAGTTTCGGCCATGGGAAAGCGCCTTTTACTATTTTACCTCACTATACTTGGCCAGCTATACATGTAGCGCAATAATAGAGGCGCTGCACTCGCGAGACCTTTACAGGCACTCGAGAATCCACGAGACTTATAGGGCGAAACCATTATTTTTCGGTAAACTAGGTAATGAATGTATCTTTCTGTAGTGAGAATTACATTGAAATAGCTACGTAAAAAAATAAACAATTAATTCAATAATCTCTATCTTACAATGTACTTGGCAATATTGGTCTCACTCTGACCGTCGTGGTATATCAAATAATATGGATATGTTGACAACATACCCCCTGCGTCTTTATGAATAATAGTCGATTCCAGAATACCCCAGCATCGAAGCCGCCATTTTGGTCGAAAAATTGTAATTTTTTTCCGGAATTCTGAGGTAAGCTATTTCTACCGATTTAATTTGACCTGCGTTCCATTCGTTGTGGCAAGTTCGTTTTAGTTTCATTGCTTCCAAGCTAGAATTCTTTTGATATTTGAGGTATTATATTATTTTGTGTGTCTTTGTTCTCATTGGTTGCGGCGTAGTTGTCTGATTGGCGCAGACAACGCCATTTTCTAATTGGTCCAGATTGGAGAGCATCCCAGGTCACACGATTCAAAACCTTCCAGCCCACCTAGAACACGTGAAAACTACCCCAGTTTGCGCCCAAACTAAACATTACTTCAGCTGGGAAGTTTGATAAAGATTTCACGAAGAATTCTGCCACAAATCGCAGGGTTTACGATCGTCATTTTGCTGATACTCGAGCAAAGAATTCACGAAGAAATTCGATCATGATGTCGATCAGCTACAAAATTCTGGAAATTTGCTCTTCAAAACCGGGTACGATTTCTTCTAACAAAACTCTTTACAATTTATAATCCAGAAGAAACACTGTATCGTACTGAGAAATGTGTGTTACTATCTACATATCCATCGTCTTTTGTCATGTCACTGGAAATGCCTTTGTGCTTTGTTTGGGGTAGAGGGACTGTGATTTGGGTGATGATTTCGTAGCCGATTTCACCATACGATTACGTTCATTTTGTGAACTTGTTTAGAGATAAAACTTACTTATCAATTGCAGTATTTATTCTACGTGTTGGCTGATTATTTTCAACACCCACAATGTTTTTACAATTCCCATTGAATATTACCCGTGTGGGGGAGAGGGGGTTGACTCCAGCATACCGCCAGGGGAGTCCAGATAAACATCTACACTATGAACTGTCAAACTAAAAATTACTACCACTTTTGCACTGACAATTGAGTGAACTACATCTTGGTTAAGACAGGAATGTCAAGCTACCAACCCAAATCCGACTACCAATATGGGGTAATTGGATTTCACAATATGATTTTTTGACCAGTTAATATTCTTGTGCTTTGACTGTGTCATCAAACATTACCAAAAATAAAGGGGTTCTTGCTACTACTTAAGATCAGATAGCTTTTTCTACTACTACCAGGATTAAATGGAAACCAAGGCTAACATTATACCTTCCTGTTAGTGTTAGATACCAGAAGGGGCACTAGAATAGGAACACTAATACGCATATTATGTGTAGTTTTCAAACAGATAGTCACGTTAATAAATGTTTAGGGTTATTAAAATAAAAAAAGGGGCATATTTTTTTAAAATGATGAGATAAATGCAAAGAGATTGTTATTTTCAATCCTTATGCTTTAATGTTTTTTGTGAATTGTCTGGCGAACCAACCAGCGAATCTCCGGGATGATTCTGTATCCCATCATATATAAAGTTCAGAATTATGAGGAATCATCTCAGAAATAGGGTTTGCTTTTGACATGTTTTTACAAATGTATGTATAAAAAATACCAGGTTCAAGCATTGGCACTGATGCTCAAATTTGAGTGTTCCTCTTGGGTTTGTGATCCAGAATGGGGAGTTGCATCATGGTTTATTGTTTTTTGTCATCTTCAATTTCATATTGTGCATCCAAATAATTAAAACAGTTCTGATTAGTTTTTTCAAGATCTCTGTGGAATAAAACACAAAGGAAATCTGAATCTTTGTTTGTTTTTTTCCAAAAGTTATGTTGCCTTGCCAAAACTCTCAACTCTTGTGTAGACTGGGATTGTGTCTAAGTGATTCAGATTCAGGTGTTTACAACTTGATATTAAGGATATTTTGAAGAAATTGCAAAATGACTTTTAATTGTACCCCTATTTAATTCTACCTTACCCTCCCCTATATTTAGGGTTTAAATTAGGGTAAGAGGTGCAATGGACAGTCTTTCTGAAATTGACTATTTTTTTCTCAATTCAGTTGGCTTGTATCTTTTTTAACAAATCTGTCTGAATTCTAATTTGAGAAGTTATAGTATAGGTACCTGTTGACAATGAGTAGTAAGAATTTGTGGCACATCCATGCTATATTGCTCACTTATGGTCTTTTGAAAATAGTCTCAAGGAGCAAAATTAAGTGCTTAAAGAATTTCCAATTTGTAAATATTTGTTTCAGGCCAAAATGTCTAAAAAATAAAATCCAGTTCATATTTTAATTTTCTTTTTTTTTGTGTGTTTCCATATAATGTTTTGATCAATGTAAATATTTTTGTTTGATGCAGTGTGAATTTCCTGATTGCATGCATTTTTTTTATATAAATATTCATAATTGTTTTGAAAATTGTAAGTGGCGGTTGAAAACAACTTGACCAATTACAGTATATATAGTATCTTTTATTTGCATTATAGCAAAGCAGCCAATGATTTAAGGCAACCTGCAAAGGATTGTGGGTAATAGGTGTTGTCAAATGGCTTTTATATCCAATAAAAGTGTCTTCTTTGAATTCAAATGTTTTATAAATATTTGATACAAGATGGTCATGCTGTTATGAAATTCACGTAAAGAACAATGTTTTTGCAACATATTGTTTGCTTGATGAATTATAGTTCAGTAATTACAGCCCAATGCACTTTACTAGTTTGTTACATCGTCAAATATAAGATTTAAGTTTACGATTATTATTGTGTGAAAATGTCTGTTTACAAGTATTTTTCAAACAAGGATTGTTTTATACTCATTATGACTTGAACTCCAATGAGGCAATTTGCCCCTTTAAAAATAGATACTTTTCCTATATGCTATTCCTATTCACCGAGACATTTTTATCATTGGATGCCATCTCAACTCTAAAGTTCAAACCCTTCAACAGTATAGCATTGCTTGAATGTTATGAAAGCATCAAACTTAAAGACAATTGCCTTGATGCCCTATAAGTTTGTCTTGGTGCCTTTTAAAGAAATATAATTTTTCCCTATAACATTAACTATATGCCATTTTAACTACTGTAAAATGACTAGTTTTCACTGGGTTTAAATTTCTCTGATTTACCATTTCAGGCATATTCAGTGGGTTTTAAATTCACGGTTTTATCATTTAGATAATGTGTTCTATGCTAAATTTTACATATTCACTAGGTTTTAGTTTAGCGCATTTTTTAGTCAGCGAAATAAGCCAAATTTAAACCCAGTGAATAATTAACCCTTTTACAGTAGTTGACTGCCATGGGGTCAACTGGCCAATTACATGTAAAGGCTGTGTTTGGCATATTGAAAACTATGCTCTTTTTGAGGTGATGTTATATCATAGAACCTTCTATGCTGCTTGGACATGTATCAAGTATTTGTACGTAAAACGTTGGTCGAAGAGGCAGTCAAAAACCGTTAAAATAAAAAAAACAGCACGTATACGTTGCACTTGTAGGGGTATTTGTTATACTTGTCAGGAGATTTTTAACAACTAGCCCAAAGTTCTCTGAGAGTTTTCAACAATTGTTTAAACGATGATGGTTGTCAGGCAATAAAAATGTCTGGATGTTCACCCTTAGCATATATTAGGCTGTATAACTTTTTACACAGTTTTCTTGTGTGTATACAGGTTGAAAAATAACTTTGCAATATGTCTGAGACTACTTTCCAAGCAGCGGCTGCCCAGCCAGCTGGCAATACAGTACAAACTGAAGCACAGTCACAACTAGCATCATTCTGGGCAAAACAAATAAATGACATTAGGAATCTAAAATCTGTGAGTAGAACATAATTTTATTATAATTTTTTTTATATATGATTTTTAGTTTTGAATGTTTTCATAATTTTCTCGCAACTCTTGAAGACCTTGTACCATGATCAATTGTGAAGACCTTGTAGGATGATCAATTGTGAAGACCTTGTAGCATGATCAATTGTGAAGACCTTGTAGCATGATCAATTGTTCTATGTGCTGTTAATTTCAGTAGCTCACTATTTAATCTTTTCACCACCAGTTCACATCACAAATCCACAAATACTGTAGGTAGAATGCTACACAGAAATATTGTTATTTTCACATATTTGATATTTCATATGGAATAAAAGATTTATGTTTTCTATCGAACAGATATACATGTATCTCAACATCTCAAAACTTTGTTCTGTGGCATATGGTGAAAACAAATTAAATTCACTTACATGGTACTTTTTGATGTCTGGAAGTATTAAAAAATTGACAAAATATGTATTTTTTTTATAAAAAAAAATGTGTTTTTATTGTGGTCCATCACTGCTAAAATTGCATTTTATGCACATTATTTTACCATTTTCTCAAAAAAATCAGGTTGACAGTGAATCAAAAAATAGTTCACATACTGATGACTAATATTAAATTAATTGTTGTCATAATTTGACACAAAATATTGCTACTGCCATATGCACTGAAATATGCGTAAAAAACTTGTGAGTAGCATTCTAACTTTAAAAAGCGCGACAACCAGCCCCCTACATATATTTACTGGTAATCGCATGAATAGGGATTAAAATTTATTTTGGTGTTCAAAGAGGTTAAATAAAGGTCATAATCTCAATTCCCCAACGAAGTACCATATATGGTAATATTTTGTGTGTGCATGTGTGGATTACATTAGTTCATACTAAATTTAGGTGTCTCATATCTTTGAATGCAACTGGGTCTAGCCGATATGCAGATATGACTGATTAAGCGTCTAAAACATGGTACTAATGTGAATATTGATTCTGTATTTTCTCTCTTTAAATTAGGATCATTTTAAACAACAGGAGTTACCGCTAGCCAGGATAAAGAAGATTATGAAGATGGATGAGGATGTAAAGGTAAGCATTGCTTTGCATGGCATGTATAATCAGAGGTTATTGCGAGGATACCAGAAAGAGATGGTACTGTCTGAATGTATACTTTGTGGTATCCTTATTATAATCTTATTATATTCTTATTAAACAACCGACCACTTTCTATAGGACGCGAACAAAATAAATTGCTATGAATCCTGATTTTAAAAGCCTGTAACCAAGAGCCAATTTGAGCCATACGTCACGATTTCTTACATTCCACTAAGCTCCGAGGGAAAGGATAACTGTTTCAGTTGAAGCATTCAGAGTCAAAAAAAATTGTAATATTTATTAAAATTTGTGCATTACAAATAGAAAAAAAAAGTGTTTATTTTGGAAATACTGCATAATCCATCCCTATTTGAAATGTGCTTTTCCTAATATAGTAGAATGCTGATATTCGATGCATTACCACAAAATTATGGCATGTTGTAACTTTTCGCAATACAATGGCAGATGTTTAATAATGTGTATTGTTATACGTCTGTCACCGTAACGCCATAAGTTACAGCGTGCCGTAATTTTGTGGTATTTTATGGGGTGCTTTCATCTTACTATATTAAGAAATATGAATTTCAAGAGTTTGTTTTAAAAAATTTTAAAACAGATTTAACGAACTTCTTTGTATTAGGTTTGGTCAAACTCAGGGGTGCCATGTTTTTGTTTTTTATGATCGGAGGACGCTTACGCGCGTAGTCATTCCATATTTGGAATTCGCATTTCCTAATATGGTAGGATGAAAATACCCCGTACAATACTGCAAAATTACAGCACACTGTAACTTATTGCATTATGCTGACAGATGTATAATAACAGATGTTATGCAACCTTATAAGGATTGTGCATTTCAATTATATGCTGATCATTACAATCTGACCTATTTTATCTGTCATTATGTAAGCGCACATTCTACCAGGCTTCTTATCAAAGCATAACAGAGTAGTGGTCCAATATTCTATATTATTGATTGGGTCATTGCCACAACAGTGAGCACAACAATGACAATTACCATATTGCATTGTAATTAGGTATTAATCTTTAGAAGCATTTTCCTAGAGTGAAACATAAGCTATTAACAGAGTAAATAGTACCTGTATAAAGTGAGCTGCATATATCATTGTTATTTGCAGATGATCAGTGCTGAAGCACCAGTATTGTTTTCTAAAGCTGCTGAGATATTTATTAGTGAGTTGTCTCTCAGAGCTTGGATTCATACAGAGGATAACAAAAGAAGAACTTTACAGGTATGTTAATAGCATGCAATAAGCCCACCCCTCTGTTTTTAGAATTTAAATGAGTTGAGGGCATCCCTGAGTATAGACCCAGGGTGTTTTTACTGGGCGTTGATGGCATTTGTTAAAATATGCATGTAAAAAGTGTCATTGCGTAAAAGTCATGATTGGTATGGTAGTTTGGTTCCTGCTTTTACGAGAAAACTTAATTGACATTAATTTCAGAGTGCATGGCATCTTTCTATACTGTTATTTACTCAGAATGAACCCTGATGCTGCAATACTGAAGTAATCCATGTTTCTTTTGAGTACCGTACTAGACTGCGTTACCGCCCAGGGGCCTCAACTCGAAAAAACGCGTGACATGTGACAGATTATGTCTTTGAGGGAAAATCAATTTTCACAATGAAGAAACAGAAATGATCACAAAAAATATGCACATTTTATTACAATATTAATTATGTACCGCCAGAATTTACAGAATTAAAAACATTAGAGTCTGTTGGAACACGGTCAAAGTCAAAATTCTCATCATTATCTCCACTGACAAAGGTGTTGGATCGTACGCAAACTCTCGATGAAAGTCACTTTCTGCCATGATGCATTTGCAGATTTGACCTGCAGCAGCGTCCTTTGACCTAATGGGTCAAGTTGGTTATTAACCAATCAGAATGCTGTGATGTACCGACGCAATTCTTCGGAAATTCCCGAAGACTTTCCGGTACCGCAATGCGGATGTGAAATATCAATGTCGAAGTACGATCTGTTGTAATTGATTTCAGTAAATAAACGACTTGGTTTTTCCAAAAAATTTTTGATAGGTAAACTGAATATGGCATGAAATATTTACTGCATTTCACTTGTATTAGCAGATCATTGTCAAAGCGTAGTTTACGCACGATTACCATGGTCTACACATTCACAACATATTCACAGCAGTCGATATCCACACTGTATCATATAAAAACGATTACCAAAATTCGTTACGCAAGACCAAGTTTTAAATTAGTTGCATTTTGAAGGGATGGGCGCTTTGCCAAATGTGACCCCAAATATAAAAAGTGCGCAAAAGTGGGGGTGGGCGCTTGCCTGGGCATGGGTGCTAACGCGGTCGAATACGGTAGTAGTTTTTGAAACACTGAAAATGGGATTGTTTAGTCGCGAAAAACTTGGTCAAAAAACATTACTTTACTTTTCCAAATAATCGTGTCCATTGAGACCATCGTGAATGGGGTGTGAACAAGCAAACTAGTCTTTGACATGCCTTGTTTGCGACCGTGAAATGTTTACCACCCTCAGTTTACCTTTAGGGAGTAAAAATCACTAACAGATCGCATTTTAACATCGCAGTACCGTTAATTCACTTCCGCATTACGTTGAAAAAATTTCAACTTCAATAATCAGACAACTTCGTCTGTACGACACAGCATTTTTTTCCTTAAAAAGACGTAATATTTCTCTGAGACCGGCGCTGTGAACGAAAATAAATTTTGTCGTTGGAAAGGTGGTTAAAATTTTAGCCCATCCCCTTATTTTCCCAATTTTACATGTTCAGTTCCCCGGGGTTAAAATCAGGAAAGTACTTAACCTTTATGATTTACACATATCATTGCGATTTTTTTGAAATAAATGCATATTTTCATTATTTAAATTGTTTTTATTTCAGCGGAATGACATTGCTATGGCAATTACAAAGTTTGACCAGTTTGATTTCCTGATTGATATTGTTCCTAGGGATGAACTGAAACCGCCAAAGAGACAGGTGAGTTATTGCACTCAGGTTTGCAAATGACAATAATAAATACAACTATTTCATCAGTACCGAATTCGCCGGCTCTATTAGATCTCTATTTTTATCTTCAATACACCTTTCCTATAAATTGCGCCCTCTAGTGGCATAGCATTTCTATGATGTAAGAAGGTGACGGAAAGTCCATATGAAGTGTTGATATCGTTTTGATCTGTTGTCGTTTCCCAATGAAGATTATGTATTCCATGGATTTTACTATATTCTAGATGTAGAACTATTTCACAATCATCATTGGTATCGATTCAAATAACATTGTTGTCACCCCTAGAAGTAATTTTTGTGTCATGGAAGTTTCCCACCGCTAGAGGGTACAATTTATAGGAATACCGGTAGTATATAAACCAAAATATTAGACTGGCCAAGCTGTGGTGATTTTTTAAAAAAAAATGGAAAAATATAGTTTTGCGAAAGGTGGGGTGAACGCGAAACATTTCGTGATTACAGGGGATTTCGCGTTAACACCTCCATTTCGCTATTTTTTTTTATTTAATTTTAAACTTAAAGAGAAATAAATCGCCTAGACTGTGTCAGTCTACCAAAATATTTATGGCGCATATAAACCAAACGTCATGTTGGTCGTGTACTTAAACATTAAAATGTTACTTATTTTGACCATAGAAACACTTCATTAACTTATGTAAGCACACGTGTTACTGATACAGCAAAAAATATGATAGTTACTGTATGGCAATCATAATCTTGAATTCTCACTGAACGCAATTTATGGAAAAAATCACCCAGCAAAAATATGCTAAACTTTTTCATTCAAATGATCTGTAAGGCAAACTACTGTAAAGGGGGTAATTATTCACTGTGTTTTAATTTTGCTTATTTCGCTGACTGGAAAATGTGCTAAATTAAAACCCAGTGAATATATAAAATTTAGCATAGAACACATTATCTAAATGATAAAACCCTGAATTTAAAACCCACTGAATATGCCTGAAATGGTAAATCAGTGAAATTTAAACCCAGTGAAAATTAGTTATTTTACGGTATACTCTATCTACCGGTACTCACTAAATTCAGCCAAATTTGCCATCTTGCGTAAACAATTCCCATGCTTATAAATGCCTCCAAGAACACTTTCTAGAATATTTAAAACCAAAATAGCCAGTTGAATAATGCATTTCAGTGCCATTGTACCATGTAATGTACAACTGGTATATGATTACCATAGTTTGTTTACAACATGCATAAAATATGAAAAATTTAAATACAACTAGTTCACGTACAATTTAGTGTCTATCGTCTGTGTTGGATGTGATTCCAGTGTGACCGACTTGTTTGAAAATTAGCATGACGTATGAGGTGCTGCTTGTCATGTCACTCTAGAACAAGATTGGCACTATGCTTTATTGTAAATGTAGCATGTTCACCTTTCTGAATCAAGTAAAATAAGTTTTAAGTTCCATTGTTACCTTAGAAACTTGCACTCTCTGGTGTAAAAACTTTCCAGTTTCATCTGCATTGGGGAATGATTATGCAACGTAAACATTCGATATCTCATCAGAACACCAGGATCCAGGGAAATCAGTGAATAAGTTGCCCAAGCTAGAAATCAAACTTCCATTCTTGCACAGAAACCAACTGATTGCACTATAACTCAAAACTTTTCTGTGATATTGATCTTTTCTGCATAGGATGAACAAGTGCGGCAAACAGCTATGATGCCAGACCAAGTGCAGTACTACTTTCAGCTTGCTCATCAACTTCAGCAGCCTGCAGCTGCCACTGCAGCTACAACACAGCCAGCTGCAGCACAAGTTCCTGTGCCTACAACTGTTGCATCGCAAGTACAGGGACAAGTGGTTACTGGGCAACCAGGACAGGTAAGTTGTCATCTTCATCATCAATCAACAAAAAATTAAAATGTAATGTACGCAGTACACACCACTGTACCCTGTGTTGTAATATTAATGTTTCATTCAATGACTTGTTTGACATTCCCAATTCCAATCTCTGACATCACAAAGTGAAACTATGTGTAGAATATAATTCTACTCAGAGATAAATAAAAAGTAAAACAAATGAGTAAAAATAAAATCCAGCAACATAATCAAAATTCTACAGTATGTTTTAAAATTGATTTCAACATTTCTCTGTTTAAATCTCAGGTAATCACAATTGGAGGTCAACAAGTACAACTGATACAGGCACAACCTGGTCAACAAATACCAGGAATACAACAGATACAAGTGTCCCAAACGCAGCCAGCTAATGTATCGGTAAGGAGCTATAGTACATATCCATTTGTAGTTCACCACATACATGTACATGGTATATGATATGATTGTTTTCAAACTGGAAGTTTGCTCATTTGCACCATGGGGTGTTGTATTTAATGCTTTCACATCCCTCATTTTGGTAGCATATTAATTCTTTTATTATTCATCCATTGATCATATTTTTTTGAACACCATATGTCAACATGCTTGCAAACACACCTGCATTGTATCATGTACTGGACATCTTATACTCCACTCTACATATAATTATTATTTTTGAAGTACCTAATTCTTATTTCAGAACCATATCTCATAAAATAAAAAAACTATTATAAAAACAATGTCATTTCATTCAAACTTTGATGAATCAAACAAATATTTGCAAATAAACGTATGATGGCTTGCGAGAATAAAGGGGGGTGCTCATCAGTGCATTTTGGAATTTCATGTAAACAAACAATGTATTTCACATTATGTATTTCATTGTGTACTTCGCTTTGAGTCCCATATCGATTAGAACAAGGCCCGATGACCACCACCCTTTAAATGAGCTCCTGGGATAAGTAGCTCACTTTGATAAAAGAACTGTCATCAGGAACCAGTACTGTAGAATACTTTTTTTTTGCTTGGAATTAACTTTTGCTATTTTCGCTGAAGGAATGATTAAGTGAAAATAAAATCCACCAAATATACTTTTTTTAGCTTCGCTGTCGACTTTGTCGATCAGGGCTTATCATATGAGTAATTGACCAAAGTCGTTCGTATCAATGTTTTACTTTTTCGACTTCTTCTTGAAAACTACAAGTCTGAATGCTTTGATACTTGGTGTATATGTACCTTGGGTAGACCTCTCTTAGATTTGTTCATTTCATGATGATATCTTCAATTCTCTAATTTTGGTGAATATTTTTTTCATTTTTGGTAAAAAGTGGTATTTTTGGCTTCTTGTTAAAAACCGCATGTCCAATTGCTTTGATACTACATATATATGTACTACATGTGGACCTCTCTCAGATTTGTTCATTTTGTGATGATATCTTTAATTATCTAATTTTAATGAATATTTTTTTCATTTTTGGTAAAAAGTAATATTTTCAAATTCTTGTTGAAAAAAAACAGTCCGATTGCTTTGATACTACATTGTATATATATTCTTCATTTTCTAATGATATCTTCAGTTCTTTAATTGAAATGTGCATTGCTAACAGTGGATCTGTCTCAGCCGACAGACTGCTTGTTCCTATATTCTACATTCAACTTGTTAATTAAAAAATTAATTCCAGCAAGAATAAAGTATTTTACAGTATTGTCTGAGTGAAACAAACATTTTGTATTTGTTGCATCTTTATGTTTATGTTTATGTTTTATGTTATAATGCCTATAGGTCACTAACCATTTTCTATAATCATTTTAATATGGTCACTAAATCTAATACTTGTATATTTGTTTTCACAGGGTCAGATGACTGTTGTAACAGCCGGGATGACAGAAAGTCAGCCCACTCAGATGATACAATCACAGGCAGGACAGGTACAAGTGCAGCCCACAACAATTCAACAAGTTATCACAAATACCGGAGAGATACAACACATACCTGTGAGTAATATACATTGAAATACACACACTATATTAACTTGTTTGTTTAACCTTTTCACCACCAGACTTTCTCGCCCAAATTTTTTCGCACTTTTTTCTCATACTCTTCAATTTTTTTCATGGAAATGTACCCTAATTTTGGAGCCAACATACAAATTTTGAGTCGCACCCA